ACACACACACACACACACACACACACACACACACACACACACACACACACACACACACACACACACACACACGCACAAGCACACGTGCATGCATACACAAGCACGCGCACGTCGATGACACCTCGCTCATGATGCGGACGCGCCTGTCCGTCTGCTTTGCGGTCTTCTCGCGGAAACGCGCGTACATGCGCGATGTGATGGTGTTGACCGGGATGAGGAGCACAATCAGCCCAATGCCGCACAGCGCATATGCGCCCACTGCACCCAGTCGCGTTGTGGAGGCCGAGGGAGAGGGGAGGGAGAGGAGGAGGAGGTGGTGGTTGGGCAGCGTGAAGAGTGTGTGAGAGAGGGGGCAAGCAGAAGAGGGTGTGAGTGTGTGTGTGTGTGTGTGTGTGTGTGTGAGTTGGGTGACAGCGGTGGCAGCTGTGCACGAGTGGAATCATGTTCCGGTGCACAACATATGGATAGCGATGCGCACCAACACCATACCATCGAACGTCATCGCTCCACGCCACAAACCACACCATCACAACATCACCACCACCACCACCACAAACACGTCACAAGTCTGACCGAGGTCCCAGAGGAGAACGGCGACGACGATGGTCTGGACGGGGCCAATCCAGATAAAGTGGATGTACGGAAGCGCAAGGAAGAACCTGTCGCAAGGGGAAGGGGAAACGGGTCGGAGGAGGAGGAGAAGGAGGAGGAGGAAGGGGGGTGTTGCATGGCAGTTGGTGTGAGGACAGGCGTGGCGACGGATGCTTCCTGTTCCAAACGCACACACACACACATACAAACCACACACGCACACACACACACACGCACACACACACACACACACACACACACACACACACACACACACACACACACACACACACACACACACACAATGTGTGTGCACAGGTGAGCTCACCGTTCGACGTCGTTGCTGACGAGGTTGGTCATGTGTCCGACTGTCACATCGTGCGCGCCCTGCACGAGATACGAGAGATGAACAAGAGGGTTGGAGGCGGGATGTCGTGGACAGCACTTTGCATGAGAGCACACACACACAAACACACACACACACACACACACACACGACCAACCTTGGTGCTGAGCTTGAGGGCCTTCTTGTACACGAGCGCGATGGTGGCGGTGCGAAGACAGTGGCCAGCACGCTGAGCGAGGAAGAAGCAGATGTGGTGGAAGGTGCCGTTCCTTTGTCACAAGACCAGAGAGTGAGGGCACGGGTGAGCAGGGGTGTGGCTGTTGAGATGGAAAGGGGACACTCTCGCTGGTTCGTGAGGGCACAGCAACGGCAATCGCGCGCACAGACACACGCACACGCGTAGATAAACAAGCGCTCGCACAGAGGCACACACACGCACACACACAAGTTCACACACAAGTTCACACACACACACACACACACACACACACACACAAGTTCACACACACACACACACATACACAAGTTCACACACACACATGCTGCCACCCACATGAGTGCGCAGAGGGAGATGCCGAGGGCGTAGAGGTATGTGGTACGGTCGGATATGGCTTCGCCAGCCTCTTCCCTCTCCAGCACGCGCGTGAGCTGGCCAAGCAGGTACGCACCAACAACCTGCACCGTGGACTCGGACACGAAGATGAACCCGGCGAAGATGAGGCCGGCGTACTCGGAGAGGCAGCAGGCGACCCAGAAGGAGCGCTTCTTCTTCGGGTCCCACATGTTCTCCAGCCTGGACACGCAGCGCTCGGCGGTGTCGAAGGACGGCAGCGCGTACATGTCCTCTGTGTCGAGCTGCCGCTTGCTGCCCTGCTGCATCGTGGGCCCGAGCCAAGAAAAGGTGATGAGCGAGAAGATGTGCAGCAGCCACGACTTGTCAAAGGGGTGACACTGGATGGACGTGCGGTACTTGGTGACCCTCGGGGTCACGGGCACCGCATCCTCGTCCACCTCTGCACCTGTGCGGCCGGAAAGGGGCCGGGGGGGGGTTGAGTGTTGGAGCGTTGCCCATGACACGAGTGTTGCCCGTGACACGAGTGTTGAGTGCAGGTGAGTGCAGGTGAGTTGCATTCACACACACACACACAGACAGACAGACAGACAGACAGACAGACAGACACACACACACACACACACACAGACACGCAGACACACACACACACACACACACACACACCTTGCTGGTGCTTGCTGTCGCCGTCGCTGTTGCTTGCCATGGCGGGGTGTCAAGCGGTGGCAGTGCAAGCACAATGTGGGTGCGGCACGTGGGTTTGGTTGTCCTGTGTGTTTTTCCTGCTGCTTTCTTCTTTGTTTTCTGTGTGACTTGCTTCGTTTCTCTTCTTCGTTTGCTTCTCTCTCTCACTCTCTCTCTCTCACTCACTCTCTCACTCACTCTCTCACTCACTCACTCACACTCTCTCTGTCTGTGCTTCAGTGCTCCTACACTCCACTGCTTCACGCAGTTGCCTGGCTCGGCGCCTGCCCTACAGCACTACCCATTCACTCATTCGTTCGTTTGTTGGTTCATTGGTCACGCGATGACAAACAACACAGCACCACAAAGCACAACAACACACATCCGTCCATCCATCCACGCACCCACGTATGCTTAGAGCTCCACGTGCCGCGGCTTCTTGAGACGGCGGCAGCGCTGCGTATGCTGATCCCAACTGTGGACACAGGTTGCAGACGCAGTCAGTCACACAAAGCGCACACAACAAGTGTCAGGTTTGAATCGGGGGAACAAGTGGCGTGAGATGCGGCTGCTGCAAGCTAGTGCATCCATTCATCCACCCACACGTACACGCAAGCACATGCACGCAACACGCACGTACAAAAACACACACACGCACATGCACATACATGTAGACAGCACGCACGCTCTCTCCCTCTCTGTTCCTGCGTGCGTGACTTACGCGCATTTGGCAACGCGCATGCATGGTTCGGGCTCGTGGATGTGCTTGCACTTGAGCTCCCCCTTTGGATGACACACGCGCGCGTCAATGTCCCACTCGCAATCGTCGCTGGACAGGTGTGTGCACGTGGTGTAAATGGTGACGAAAAGAAGGGGGGCGGAGCAAGCAGCGGTCAGAGTTGAGAGCAGTGTGAGGGGTGGAAGGAGGATGGGCACATGGGTTCGCCAATGGGTGAAGCACGCAGCGGAAAACGAGTCTGTTTCTGGGCATATGTTCACGCACACGAACGGATGCGCACATGCACACACAAGCACACACGCACACACGCAAGCACACACGCACACAAGCACACACAAGCACACAAACACACAAACACAAACACACGCGTTGACTCACAATTCTGAGCAGGATGCGTGCTGCGTGAATTCGCCGCAGTCCGTCTGGCCCTCGTGCACATACACACACCGCGACTCGCCTGTACGCACGCACAGCGAAGCACAAACAATTGGAGGACGAGGTGAGCGAGGGCGTTAAGAAAGCACGCACTCGCGCACTTGATGTTCCACTTCACACACACACACACACATACACACACACACACACATACACACACACACACACACACACGTGCGGGCATGGTAGTAGCAAACGCACCGACAATCCACTTGCAAAAGTCCATGGCTCTGCATTCGTTTGCGGAGTTTGACGCAAAGCAGCGGTGCTCAGATGTTGCGGACATGCACGCTTGCCCCAGCCCGTCCCAGTGGCAGTCCTGGTTTGTCATTGTGTGTGTGTGTATTAGCAAGCAAGAAACAACACAAGATCAAGCTGATGCGTTCAGCAGTGACAGCAGTGACAGCAGTGCAGGTGATGGTGATCCCTGACGTTCTTGCACACTTTCTTGTATTATCACCGCACCTCTCGTTGCTTGCAGGCATCCTCATCGTGGAGGAAGTTGCAGTCCGTCTTTGCACCTGTTTGCCGAGAGCAGCACGGTGGCAGTTGGCGTTGATGAGACAGTGATGGTGCGGATGATTTGAGTGACAGGAAAGCGGCGTGGCAAAGTCACAGCAGACAGCATGCGCCGTGCATGCGAAGGGCACGCCGAGAAGTCCCGTCATCCCATCGTTCATCATCACAACGAACACTGTCACCACACGCGCAATCATGGAAGAGCTGCCATTCAAACAACGTTTCATACAACCAGGCAACAGCGCACATGATGGGGAAATAAAACACACCTTTGTTTGTGCAGACGCCAACGTCGTCATGGAAATCGCACCCAATCTTCTCGCACGACTCCTTGTCAAACACATGTGCGCACTGGACGTTTTCGCCGGCGGAGAGGCAGCGCTGCCCTTC